TGGCTGTGGGATAACCCCGTTAAGCCCCAGGTCGTGTAGTCGATTCTGGCTCTCTTACTGTCTCGTGTATTCTTAGGGGCGGGGTGCACGGCTGAGACACTCGCTGTGTTGACAAAAAAAAAAAAAAATCAACGTTAGAATTTGAGTGGTTTGTGAAATTACAGTGAAGGCGTGAAAATTTAACGGATCTGGGGTCTCTACTGTCGAATATTTGTGTCTGGTTCTGTACAACACTTGGTGTTAAATGGTTGAATTTTGGTGTAAACATGAATTTCGTATCCGAACCGCCGGATTCGGGTACAATAATTAGACCGAATCAATCAACCGGAGGGACCCGGGTTCCAAATTTAGCAGCAGCAGCATTGATTTTTGCTCCCTGCTTTTGTATTGGCATTGTTGAGTCAGCTCAGCTGAGGAACCAACTCAACTCCCGTGTAAGAGTTCCAAATTTACGGAGGAAGAAAACAGGAGTCCGTCCATTCGCCTTGACCAGATTGGAAATGTATGCACATCCAGGAAAATGAATGCATGGCCAAAATGTTCAACTAAAATCGACTCCAGCTTGAACAACTACTACACGGACCTAACACCATTAACTTCAGTCGATAAGATATCTTTATAAAATTACCCAATTTGCATCTGAAACCGGGTGCTGCAAACCATGGTTAATCCTCAGCCACTGTGGCCTGATGACTCGGAAATTGGAACTTAGAGAAATGGGCCTTCCTGTTTTTGAAGGGGGATTGTATGTGGTCCTTATCTTGCATTAATGGCTGCTGAGATTTTTTTGCGTCTTGGGTGAATGGATCTGTTATTATTTTTATTTTTATTTATTTTTTATTTTTAGCACGTACAGATACTGCTACTGGCCACTGGGGGTTAGAACGTATTTATGTGTTGATTTCTTTATATTTCTCCGAGGAATCATCAAACTGTAGCTATGTCAACATTTTCTATTAAAATAATTTTGTTGGGATGGTCAGCTTTCCTCTTCCATAACTTCTGGTAGTTATTGATTCGCATTTTGGATTGCGAGCAGCTAATGTTTGGATTCTTGGGGTGATCAACACATGTATTATGGGCTCGTTATTAATGCATGGAACTATAGATTACTTTTTTGGAATTGGATATACTACTATTTTGCTGACAATTTGCCCACGATACTGTGGAGCTTTGGTATTTGATTTTCGAGGTTGATTTGGTAAAACTAGAAGGATAAAATTTGTCTGTATATACTGACTGTTATTTTGTTGCAGAAGAACTGTGAGGATTCTACCCTTTAGAAATACAGAGATTGTCTGGTGGAATCGAAGTAGATAACAGTGATAATAAATGAATCCAAAAAAAAAAAATTGAATGTTATATTTGTTTATAATGCTGATATTTCAGTTTTGAGGTTCGTCAAAGTGAAAAAAGAATTTTATGCCCGAAGAAGCTGTTGTTTGCCATCTGAAATCAATTGGGTTGCTTGGTGAATACTATCCTATGTCAAGGAGAAAGGCCGTAAATTTTCTGTATGCATCTCAAGTCATATCAGGGATATGTGGAGTTGTACGAGTGCAGCAGAGTGCAAGGTTCCCACGTTGTAGAGAATCAATCTTGCTGTGCTGAAAAATTTTTGGAAGGCGCATGCATTTTGAAATCCAGTAATTCTTCCGGGACCAAAAACGATTGAATATCAATATCTCGAGCTGAAGGGAAAATATTGCATTACAGAATATGGGTTCTGCGATGGTAATGATGCCCTTGTACCAGCATGAGACGCCCAAAATAATCATGGAGATGAAGGGCAGTGGAAATGGCATGAAGACAACTATGGCCAATACGGTTTGGTTGAGATTGCAAAAGCTTTGGCCAGGCCAGCTTCTACATGACAAAACATTTCAGTATGCAGGTGTGGCAAAGAGACATGTCCCTTGATGCAGCTCATCAGGTCATCCAAGAACATTTGGTTTCTGATATGATTATGCTACGAGTAGATGAACAAGAGAAGCAGCCAAATGCAGCTGACAAAACACGTGGGAGTCCCAAAGGTGCTTCATCACGACCTAAGGATTATGCAACTGCTGGGCACGGAGACAAACCCATGAAAGGCGGCTTGTTCAGGAGGTGAAAGGGATTCTTAAAAGGAAAGTTGCAGGGAAATCAGGTCCAGCCCTCCTTAGCATTGCTTTCTAATTTTGCTCAGGACGTGATGACAGCTCTCTACGAGGCATTCCTCGATGATGTTGAAACTGAGTTTGCAAAGGAGGTTGGCAAAAAGAAAAGCTATTTTACTGCAGCAGTCGGTGCGGATGAGGGCTGGCAGTTGATTTTGCTTCGAACAATTGAGCAATTTTGCAAGAAGTCAATCAAACTCAACTGAAGTGAAGGAAGCGGCTCCGGTTCTAAAAGGAAAAGCCTCGTGTGATTTTGGAGGAAGAGTTTATAGTACAGTGGTTTTAGGAAGGTCGGGCAGGGAAACAAACATTCCCCAATTTGCAAGAACTCCAAACGCTTCATTGATTGGCTTCAAAGCGCTGAGTAAAAAATCGAGGGTTGTTGATTCCACTAGAACCTTTTTCATTTTTTTGGGGCCGCGGCCGGAGGGGAGAGCGTGGGGGAAGGATGGCTTTGGAGTTGGATTGGACTCCCTTCAGTGACTTCACCCTTTGAGTCCCAATCAAAATGCGGACTCGTGTAACTACTTAATTTTCAGGAACGAGTGATGAATGTTAATATGCGAATTTCGTAATTTCTGTACCTATAGCCTATAGGCTTTTCTATTTTGTTTTCTCTATTATTTTTTTGCTAGCTATATAAAATAAAATACACATTTATACCCTCCTCATGTAAGGAGAAAGGAACCAATGCAGTAGGAGTTTCGTGCGATTCGTCGATTATTACCTTATTTGGTATACAATTATATTATATTATCGTGTTTGGAGTAAAAATAATGTATATGAATAAAATATTTGACATACATTTAATATAACATTATAATGTATTTGTATATCAAATAATTAAGGGATAATTTCACAAACCTCCTTTGAGGTTTCTCACAATTACAAAAAGCTCCCCTCAGGTTTTAAAAATTATATATACCTTCCTTACTTTTACTGTTTAGTAACAATGTAGGTCCAAAAATTTAAATTTTCTTTCAAAAATCCTAAATTGCCCTTGTATACAAAACTAAGAAAGAAAAATATAATATATTCAATTATTTTCTTTCACACTTTGCATAAATCAACAAGCCAAATTCTTAAGAACCATTCAAACATAAGTTCTAAAATCAAGTAACCATTCAAAAGATCCCAAATTGCATACACAGTATCAATACTTGCTATGATAAAAAAAAACACACACACACACAAAACCCCATTGAAAACCAATTTTATACCCCCAAATTAAATATCAATACTCAAATATAAGCTAATTTGACCTAGAACCACCATCACAACTCTCCTATGGCCTAAAAAATATTAATATCTCAAAAGTGGAGAATAAATTCTACCTCCACAATAATCATAATAAAAAATTTCTAATCCAATGAAAAAAGCATTACGTAATTATTGACATTTTATAAAGTTTTTTCTTAACAACAAACAAAATATTGACAAATTCCACATCTTTAGTTATTTTTCCTATTTCAATCATCAATTTCATTATTTATTTCTCTATCACTGCGAGTCTCTTCATTTTCTTCTAATTTGACACATAATCTGTTCCCTTTATAGATTTTGTAATTTCAATTTGTTAATATACACAAAATTGAATATAATAAAAAGAGGTTATATTAGCTAGAAAAAAGACAAGAGACGGCAAAATAGATTTGTTTTTTTAGATTTTGTAAATTTATTGCCTTAAATTTAAAATTGTCTACTAAGTGGAGGGTATTATAGATATTTTACTATATCAAGGGAGGTAAGTGTAATTTCTCAAACCTAAGAGGAGCCGAGTAAAATTATCAGAAACCTCAAGGGAGGTTTCTGAAATTATTCCAATATTTAAAGGCGTAATAAAATGATCGGACAGAGCCCTGCAAAGTGCAAACGTAGCCCCACCGAGTCCTTGTCCTAATGCAAGGCACTACTAATCTCAAAGGACAAGCACGAGACGAGACGGCTGTGGTCACTAAGACAGGTGCTGTGAATTACTAAAAGCCAACCAAGAGAACTAAACCAACAAAATGAAGAAACACCAATCATTGAAAAAGAAAACAAGAAAATGGAAAGATTCTGATCTGATTAGTGATTACAAATTAGTAGCAGTACAGGTACAAAATATAAATTCGGGTCCGGGTTTCGTTCGGAGCGATAGAGTTGCACCGAACACGCAACTGACGAGCGTCTAACTAATTTTCACTAACTTACAAAGAAGATGGACGCCAGAACCGTTCACGAAACCGTCACTCTATTGTATTTGTATAGTGTATACTTTTAAAAAAAAAAAAAAAAAAAATTGGAAAACTTATTTCCTTAACATCCGCAAATTTGACAAACATCTCTGTTTCCCAGAAAATTTGACAGCAAACTGAGCTACATTTCGCCATCGCAACTTTTATGAGTTTTATATTTTATTAGCACTACCTACCTGTGTGATTTTAATATATATATACATTTCCGCCATTAACTACATAGGAGCGAGCAATTGATGATCATATTTAAATTGGAATTATATCGCTATCTCTGAGCAAGGTAATGATGTTATGTTAATCATTTCTTCCTTTATTTCGCATCTTATATGCTCTCTCCTATTATTTTCCATGAATTGTGTGAATTCAGTATTGCACTTGTGAAGAATTCTTATTTCTTTTTCTTTTTTTTTTGGTTTTGAATTCGGGTGTTTTTTTCTTTTCCTTAAATTCGTAATTACGAGCTGAATTTATGATTTAGTGACATGCATGTTTGGTTAATGAATTTTGTAGGAAAAAAAATGAAATTTTAAGATACCTGTTGTTGCATGTTTGATTTTAATTTTTCTCCTTCTCCTGTTTTATTCATTTCTTGTTTAACGGAAAATCGGATAGAGTAATTATTTGTGAATTTTATATAAAGTGAAAGCTGTAATCTTTGATTATGATTGAAGTTGGAAAACGATGAACACATGCAACAAGAAGGGGTGAAAGTTTTTAAAACTTGGCGGTTGTTCCCAGGTGGTCCCCATCTCACCTCTGAGCCCACGGAAGGGAAGGTACTCCAGGAGAAACAAGAACTTCTAATGATTGAAAACCTAAGCTTGGTTTTGGACAGTACCGTGGAATTCAGCTCAATTATTATGGCTTTTTCTTGGGGTGTTAGGTGGGGTGAAAAGAAGGAATGGTTAAGGTGTTAGGATCAAGTAATTCTTCGTGTTGCACTCACGCATTACTATTATGATGCTTGTGTCGGTTTGCATGTCAGCTATGATCTTTGTTGTTGGAGTGCGTTGCTGATTCCCAAGTGCAAAAATCCCAGCTTTAATTGTTTCAGTTAAGCTCGTTTTTAAAGAACAATTCTCCACCCCAAATAATTCTCCTTATTCTCTAAAACTTTCGACTGATTATACAAGTATTCATGCACTGACTGGGAAATATTCACTGACATTTCCATACCTGGAGAACTTTTAGGCCCCTACTCAACACATACTTTAGGAAGAGACGCCTGCTAAGTTTTTCTAGGGAATGGTTCTTGATGGTTTATGCCAAGTTGGTTTAAATTAGGTAGATGAACAGTGACAGGGCTTGAGAAGGAGAACCTTCTGCTGGCTTGTCAGTCTTGCCACAGGTAAATTTTAGAGCAGAGCCACCATCTTTGGGTTATTGTAATTCGCATGCAATCTGGTTAATTGGGGTTTTAAGAAACTGATACACCAACAGATATTTTGATTGGTATACAGGTAAATGTTGAGATCACATATTTGTCTATTGCAGCAAGAAATTAAGAATTTGTTTTACCCCTCATTTACCCAGTGATTAAGATGATTTTCCCCCCTATTGGCAGGCATGGAGGTGGGTTCTCCTGAAAATGGATTTGATGAAATAAGCGACCTTTTCAAACACGATGAATCCACTTTATCTGAAGATTTAGGCCTAAGCTTTCTAATGAATAAGGATGTAGCTGCAGATTATGCGTTTGGTGACTTGGAAGGTGAAGATAAGTTCAATTTCTGTTTCAGTGAGCAAGGGCACTGTGAACTGCCTTCACTGCTGTCTAATTTCAGATACTATGACCCTCCGGGACATCCTTTGGAAAATCTCCATTCTTCTGCTCGAATTAGTAGCAGTAGTGATTTTTTGATTGATACAGATGCTGGTGTTGTTTTGAACGAGGATAATTTGCAGATGAGATCGCCCAAAAACCACCAGCATGAGGATACTGAGAAGTTATGTTCTGGTTATCTTCGTGATTTTGCCTCCCAAGTAGATTTAGAGAGTATCAATTCTGAAGTTCCAGAGGTCTTTTGCAGACAACCACAGGTACTTGCTTCAATGGGGAACCCTATATTGGGAGGAGAAATAGTGGACACGCGAGATTCTCCTCCGCACTACAATATAGGTGAAGAAACCTTTTCAAATCCACAGCACCAAGAACTTGACCAGTCTGAGTTTACATCCAAAAAAGAAGAAGAAGGTGTTCCAGTTGACCAGACAGAAACGCTTTATCTTTCTCTAGAATCTGAGAGTGGAGATTTCAACTCAAGAAACTCTGGAGATGGTAGGGAAGAGCTCAAAGAGCTTGATTTGCCCCATGTTGATCAGTATGACCAAGAGAGAACTTCGCACTTTTCTGTATCTACAGGAGTGATGGGGGAAATATGCGTTTCGCCTGAGACATCTCTTTACGCTATCAAGGTTCCACATGATCAGAAACTGTCTGCTTCACATGGTCTTCAAGATGTATTATATTATAATGTAACACATGATCCAAAATGCTGCAAAGCTGAATGCTTTGACCCAAGTGAAGATCCCCTTTCTGTGAATCAGTCGTTACATGCTGCTATGGAGAATTGTGCATCTTCAAAAGGTTCTCCTGCGAAACATGTTCATGTAGCTAAAATAAATGATCAAGGAGTAAAAAGATCAAGATCACAATCACCGGTTAAGCAAACATATTCCACTTCCAGGTGTAAGAAGGATTCTCAAACTAACTCTGAAGCAAGACTCCCACATTTTAAAAGTTGGTGCCAAAGATCATCTGACAAAGCTGCTTGTTCATACCAGTCTCCTGGAAGTCCTATCAGATGTGTTATTCAAGAAGGTCACAAGGAACAGTCTTATTATTCTTCATCAAGTAACCACAAATATGAATTAGCTAGGACTGGTGATCGGGGTAGGGAAGTCACTTCGAAGGATCATTTGTCAGTCACCAGTCGACAGAATTCTGCTGCTCTACAAGAGTCAAGGAGAGTGTTTAAGGATAGTTCTTCTTCCAAATCTGCACCTGCCTCACCAAGCAATCACTCCTTAGAAATTACTAGTCGTCGGAAAGTGGAGAGGTCAGGTTCGCCATCACCAATCTCGCGTAGGAATCTCAAGAGAGAATGTGATAAATCTCTTTCAAGGTATCCATATGCAAAGGATATTTGCAGGCAATCCTCAAGGTTACTTTTCCTTCTTTTGAAGTGTTACTGCAACGATAGAAACTAATTAGATATTTATCATACTCGATGAACTATTTTCTGTTTGTGGACTTCGTACACTCGTTGGCTTGCTTATTTACCCGTTCTTTGGACTAACCATGTGTTATACTATAGTTGTCTGCTTCTTCAATTACCTATTCTTTGGACTGGCCGTGTGTTAGAATCTACGCTTGCCTCTTCAAGATGGATTAGATTACTACAGGACTGATGGTTTATTTGTTATAATCGTAAACATAGCAACCTCTTTTCATTTTTGTGAGTGTGTGTGTCTGTTTTGTTATCTAATTTTGCCATAATTCCTTTTCACTCGAACTCAGGACGAGGTACTCCTCAAGGCACAAATCTTCCTCAAGGAGCTATTCTGCTCATAATACATCTCTTCGAGCCGGATACTTGTCACGAGCTTCTTATAGGAGGACTGGAATAGGGAAACCTGGGAGATGTCTGTTTGTTGCAGGCTTTGAATTTTCAACAACAGAAGGAGAACTGGAAAGGAAGTTTTCTCGATTTGGCCATGTGAGAGATGTTCGCATAATTCGTGACAAAAGGTAATATATCCGCCTATCATTTACTCCTGCAGTGGAACTATGATAGACAATTTTGGAGGCCTTAGCTTTCACCTAGTGATCTACCTTTCTATAATAACAAATTTTGCATTTAACATGTTGTCACAAGAAACATGTAAAAAGAAGATTTTCTGCAGTTGTAAGATCTTTGTTATGCTGCAGCTGTTATGAATATACTCACAAAATCAAGTCATTTCCAGGAATTCTGTAAACTATGAAAGTGCTTAGAGCCTCGAACATTATGCACACAAACATACGTGTAATGCATATGCGGGTTTTGCACATTGCATAGGATCTCATCTAGAGTAAATTGAAAACATTTTTCCATCTAAGGTCTTCTTTTAATAGTCAAGCGTGATTTCCAAAAGGCCATGAATCCTTCTGCAATTTTTGTCTGGACAATTGGATTTCCTACTTAGTTACAGTCGAGGGATTTTGTAATTTAGGAGGGGCCTACTTTCCAAATGTGTTTGGAGCATCTATTTCCTACGGCAATCTTGGATATACTAGGCAGCAAGTAGGTACTTAAAGGACAACATCAATTATAGTAGCTCAAAAGTCTTAGCTCAGAGTTATCTGTAACGATGTTGGCCTTACTTTTGCTAGTGAGATTTTAAGGTGAACATAAATGTTTTACACCCCCAAATTATTGAATGCTTGGAACAAGAGCTTCTTTAAAAATTGAACTTAAGGAAGAATGAAAAACAGCAGCAATGTACCGCAATGTTGGTGCTTAGAGGGGTCGACTGGTGTTCTGGTTCTTCTGTAAACAGCTAGAGCCGTTCACATTAGCTTTGTTTTGATAGTGAAGCTTTTGCAACCGACGCTACTTTTATGCCCTACGGGAATGCGTAAGCTTGTACAAATACTGCTGTCTTATCATTTATTCAACGTCTTGGCTAGACAATTTGTGGACTGAGTTGATATGTAATGCATGCTCTCTTTTATCTTAATTTGCTATTTCTTTGGTGATGAGTGAATTCTGAAATTCTTTAATTTCAACGCTAGGTCGGGGCTTTCACGCGGATATGGATTTTTATCATTAGAAAGGGATGAAGAAGCAGATGCGGCCATTAGAGCTCTGCACAAGACAGACTGGAATGGTCGTGTTGTTCTTGTGGAGAAATCAATTAAGTGAAATCTCATTACCTGTATCTGAACCAGCTTATAGTTTCTTGTTCCATGATATTTTGACTGCAAAGTTTTGTTCTAGCCTGGGCAAACACATATAGTAGCTCAGCCTGAGATAACCGGGACATATAATAGTTACTTGGTTAAAACTTTTGTCTCCCTATCCATTAACTTGATAACGTCTAATGTAGTGATTTTTTGTGTAATGTCTTGGTGGTTTTTGTTCGTTTGATCTTCCTTAAAAGATCTAAACTCAAATTGAAGCTCTCTTTCAGTGACTCAGTCGTTCGCCTTGGAAGGCATATATATATATATATATATATGAAGTTAAATAGTGAAAGACAGTCAGAAACTCCAGGAGATGGGAAATGCCAGGTCAAACATGGGTGAGTAACAATAATCTGATGCCCATCTGTTTTGTCTGCCATACCTTTGATTCAGGTAAGCACCAAAGGCACATCAACATCGAACCAGTCATGCATATTCGCTCACGGCTCAACTCAGGGGAGGGAGGGACAGCAGGGTTCTGTGACATGTTGGAGAGTTTTTTTATTATGATGTGTTTGGGCGGCCGAGGCATTGAAGTTGGGGTTTAGTCCTTGCTTGGGAGATGTTGCCTTGGTTGGATGACAAGTTTTTTGCCCAGTTTGTCTCTTATAAGTTTTTTAAAAATTAGCTACAGTAATCTCAAAAAATTTTTCAAAAATTTTAAATTATACACTTCAAAATATTAAAAAAAAACACACTTCAAAATTTTTTTTAAAAACTTCTACAGTAAAGTTTCAGGCAAACACTCAAAAAACTCACTTATCAAACGGATTGTAGCCGACCTGGTGGTGTAGTCCCTAGTTAGGGCATCCACCAGAGTTCGACCCTTGTAACAAAAATAGGGAATAACCTAACAACCCAAATAAGGGTTGGGGTCTGAAGTGGGATCAGGTCCTTTTTTGCCGTTTTAGACACACAAAAAAAAAAAAAAAGGTTGTTTTGGTCAAAAGCGTTAGCAATTTCATTCGTAGAATCATGTATATACCAACCCAATATTTCCTAACGATGAATTGAATGGCTTTTTTTTTTTTTTTTCTTCTTCTCCCGCTTTATTTATTTAAAGGAAAATTTTACAAGTCAAAATTTAAGAATCAGAATGAAAGACTTCACAGTTGTTTGATTAATGTCTCTTTATCAACAGCTAAGAGTGTTGCTATTTATTTATACTAGTGCAAATTTGCTGGAATAGTTGATATATGAACACGTCATGCTAGGATCATTGAGTGAAGTCAATCAAGGAACGTGTCTTCCAGCTCACATATTGGCGGCTACATTGCCTTTGTCCTTTGAGAGAAGTAATGTATGGTTTGTAAACTGCCCAAAGGAAATTAATTATGCTGTTGAAAATGATTTAATTACAATTTGATAACTTTTTCCTCTCAAAACTCAAAGAAAAGGAATGTGACTTCCTGGAACCAAAACTGCGTAATAAGTACTTAAAAAAAGCAGGTCGGCTGCTTCTAGTTCTAGACTTTCTAGGTGGAAAGTTGGAAGCAGTCCACGAATGTAGGGTTCTAAGTCTCAAGCAATGTGGACAACGTCCCTTATCCTCAACATGTATGGCCTCTCTCAGTCATCTCTATGGCAGAAAAAAAAGTGTATTTAATTTTTTTGAATTGCAAATTAAAAGGTATATACAGAGTCTAATTATTTATAGTCTTTTTTTTTTGAAAAATATTGCGCAAATAGAAAGAAATTGAATATTCTAAAAAAGTGTTTTTTTTTTCCTACGACTTTCATTCTTTTAAATAGTTGAAAGTATTTTATATTGTCAATAAATACGACGAAACAACAAAAAGATGCCATGCATGTATCACATGCTTGCTTTTCCTAATTTCTTACTTATTAGTAATTTTCAAGATTTCAGCTATATTTCAAGATTTTGAGGTTCAATTTCACCTTTTCTGTCCTCTGCCTCGTATAAAAGAAAAAAAAAAAAGGGAAACAGCAGCAACAAATTTGACCTTTTTCTCCAAAATGTAATAATGATGATGATGGTGATGATTATTACCAATAGCCATTGTGCATCCCACCACCTTTTGAATTGTTTAGTTAACTAGTCCAGCATATGCCTAGCTGCCAACCCTGCCTCAGAAGAAGGAGATGTGGTCAACTATTCAATCATGACATTATTTCCTTGTTCACATTTTTCACATAAAAATGCAATATAAATGGCAATTATCATTGTGATTGCATCTTGCACAACCGGATAAAAAGATGGACATTTAGAGCTTAAACCTTTAGTTAGCTGACTCTGTCAAATTTCATTTGTACTAAAATCAGTTGATTAAAATTATGATGTGTTATGTTGTTGCATACGTAGCATAATACAGACAGACACACGAGACATGGGACCAACTATAAAGCATTAATCCAAGAGTTTAAAGGCATTCTGAAGTTACAGTGCACCAACCTAGAAATTGCTTGGGGAGTACAAAGCAACGTTGTGCACCATTGGGTATTGGCCTGCCTGCATCATCTTGCCTCGATCCATTATCAAAGCCAGCATTAAAAAATTCCAGGCTGCAGCATTGCAGGCAGGCTAATTATCGTTGGCTCCAATGTACGTTTCACTCAACTATATTCTCCTTTACCATTTCCCTGTCAGCTGATTCAGTCTTGGAGAATTCAATTCAGCATTGCAACAGATGCATCATCTAACCACCTTCTTTCATTCTTCCCATCAGACTTTTCCATCCAAGTACAACTTTGATTCTATCTTGGTCAAGACTTGCAAAGCCTTCCAAACTCAAGGGTCCCGCAATTCTTTCTAAATCCTAGGTACTGAGTACACCTCCCTGTTTTCTGACCAAATCTCAGTTATACCTCGTTTTCTTGATTGCAAAATGGCATCTTTCTACATGGTATTTTGAGTCTCTAACTGGGTTCAATGTTTATGAATGTTCTCCTGTTTGATTGTAATTCACAAGTCAACTGTTCCTTTTCTTCTTCTTTTTTTTTTTTTTTGTGTGGGTATTATTAAGGCTTTTGCTGATTGAATCTTGCTGTGCTATCAGAAATTCAGAATTGACTGATTAGAAAGGAAAATAATGGGGATGTGCTTTAGCCAAGAAAAACCAACAGTCTCCAAGGCCAATGGTGGTGTCGATGGAATGTATATTCCTGGGACACAGCAAAAACCTGTTCAGCACACAAAATCACCAGCTCCTAATAGCCAAATGCCCTTTAAGCCACCTCCAAGCCCCAGACCAGTTCACAGGCCAGATACAATATTGGGGAAGCCGTATGAAGATATTAAATTGCACTACACACTGGGGAAGGAATTAGGCAGGGGTCAATTTGGTGTCACATATCTGTGCACGGATATTGAAACTGGAAGACAATATGCTTGCAAGTCCATATCAAAGAAGAAGCTTGTTACCAAAGGTGACAAGGAGGATATGAGACGAGAGATTCAGATTATGCAGCATTTAAGTGGACAGCCAAACATAGTTGAATTTAAGGGTGCTTATGAGGATAAGCATTCAGTTCACCTTGTGATGGAGTTGTGTGCTGGTGGAGAGCTTTTTGATCGAATTATTGCCAAGGGACACTACAGTGAAAAAGCTGCAGCTTCAATCTGCAGGGCTATTGTCAATGTTGTTCATGTCTGCCATTTTATGGGTGTGATGCACCGTGATCTTAAGCCTGAGAACTTCTTACTGTCAGACAAGAGTGAAAATGCGGCCTTGAAAGCAACGGACTTTGGGTTGTCGGTATTTATAGAAGAAGGTATCTTTCTCATTCTCAGTTCTCACGTAATTCAGAAATGTATGCCAGCTTTTCCTATGAACTTTAAGATATACGTGCGCTCTTGGAGTATTAGAATATAATATGTGGACCACTTAGCCAACATTTTGAAGTTGAGTTCCCAGTTTTTCTAGCTTAAAAAGTGCAAAATATGTATCCTAAAGATTGAGGAAATGGTCCATGAATACTGAATTTACTTGAATGTTAATCTTCGAAATGTATATGCTGGTTCAGATATGACATAGATTTAAAATGCTCTTAGTTCCTTTCATATTTCCTAGCAAACTTCCAGTCATTAGATTCGTTACAGACTGTAAAATAGTCGATAAGTTAGATTCGTGTTTGGTTCAAGACAGTGCTTCAAAGATAAGCTTGTAGCAGATTATAGAGTTCTGTAGCTACGTGTAGTTTTAGTTGCAAAAAATGCTGCTTATTTGCCTGGAATGTGTTTAAAGCATGAAATTAAGGCTTTATCAAACCATGAGAAGCTCCTTTTCACAAGACATCGAGGTACTGCAACTTAAGACATCATCATCAAGTGCACCTTGATCACAGATATCAGTGACGAGGCTTTTATTTACACAAAAGTGTTCCTTACAACTGATGCTGCCATTAAGCGAACTAGTGTTTGCAATTCATGATTTTCTTGGTGTTTTCCATCATAATCTTATCAGTTAAACCGAGTCTGAACCTTTCTGTAGGCAAAGTCTACAAGGATGTAGCTGGGAGTGCTTATTATGTTGCACCTGAAGTTTTAAGGCGTAGGTATGGGAAGGAAGCTGACATTTGGAGTGCTGGAGTCATGCTGTATATATTACTCAGTGGTGTGCCACCCTTTTGGGCAGGTAAAGCAAACAAAGTTGCCTTCTTTTCTAGTTCTAAATATGTAATAACGTTTCTTATTATTCTTCTCTTGGTACCATTTGCCGATTAATGTAATTAATCTTTTCATGAAATTTGCATGACAGAAACTGAGAAGGGTATATTTGATGCTGTCTTAAGGGGACATATTGACTTTGACAGTCAACCTTGGCCATCAATCTCAAGTAGCGCTAAGGACCTTGTCCGCAAGATGCTAACACAAGACCCCAAGAAACGAATTACAGCTGCTCAAGTACTTGGTATGCCTAAGAATGACCTGAGTCCTTCACTAAAATCCTTACAGTTGCAGAATATACCCTTTTTGTTTATTGTTGTCTGAGAGATGAGGTCATATACTTGCTAGTTGCTAACTTAGGAACATATCTCCTTAGTCAAAGCCTCACAACCTTTTTATGGTTCTTTTTCCACTTCAAACTGCCTAAAGTTTCTGTATCCACTGGCATCTCGAAGTAGTCAAGATTTATCTAAATGTTAGAAGTTATTTCTCCTGGTTTTAGCCTAATAGTTGATGATTCGTAGCTTGGTAGACTAGATCTGAAAGAAGTTATTTAGTGAATAAGCTTAAGATGGTCAAACATTGGAGCATTTTAAATTTGTTCTGAAACCTAGCAAGACATTTACATTTAACTGAAAGCATCTCAGAAAAGCACTTTTCTACTTCCACAAGCATGTTTCTCCTTATTCTTTTATGAAATGGATGGATTATCACTATGCAGTTCTCCAGTAATTCTTTCTTAATGGTAAGAATTCTTTGTGCTGGTAATATACTCATGCTACAATTCTGGCGTCAGCATCCTGTACCTACAAAATTTCATATGTTCAAATTTTGTGCTAATCCAGATTTTGTGCTTTTTTGACTGAACAGAGCACCCATGGATGAGAGAAGGAGAAGCATCAGACAAACCAATAGACAGTGCAGTCCTTTCCAGAATGAAGCAATTCAGAGCAATGAACAAACTCAAAAAATTGGCTCTGAAGGTATGATCATTATTCAAGAACTTAGATGTCAGCCCATAATAGCACAAGTTTAAAATAGACATGAATCAGAGTGACTGTTAAAACCATCATATATAAGCCCAATATCTTCTCTTTAGCTTGTAAATCTTATCATTCACAGAACCTGGTTAAGTTGCTCCAGGAACACCAAGTTCCTAGGAGGATGTTGCAAAAAAGATAGATTGCAGGTAAAAGCTATCATAGAAGAGCCCAACTCTCTCATCAAGTTTGCTCAACTTACCTTCTGAGAAACCTGACTTTGGCATTAGAATGAGAGATATTGCTTAGTCCGCACCTTTCTGAACACCAGCTAAGCTGAGTAATACATTGCCCATAACCATCAAACAGAGGGAATTGGGAGGGGCCAACTATAGAAGCTGTTGTACTGATGAGACACCCCCCAAGTGATACTGAGCAACTCAGTATATGGGCACCATCATTTATTACCATATTCAGCCAAATTATGGGTAAACCTGTTCCAGAAGACTTTCCGCTGCTGTGGGATTTCAGAAACTCAGTAGAAAGGCTATTCCAGTGATCAAATTCTAAATCCTCCTAACTCACTCTAAGCAACTTACTAATGTGGCAATGCCAATGTACATGGTAAATTCTGGCACATTCATCTTACAAACCAGAATTGATTGTTGGTTGATTTAAAATCATATTCCAGGTCATTGTAGAAAGTCTCTCTGCAGAAGAAATCCAAGGGCTGAAAGCAATGTTTCAAAATATGGACACTGACAACAGTGGCACAATCACATATGAAGAACTAAAGAGTGGACTTGCTCGACTTGGGTCAAAACTCACAGAGGCAGAAGTTAAACAGTTAATGGAAGCTGTAAGTTCAGTAGAGCTCTTCCTTCATGCTATGCTATAATATCCTGAAACTAATTGCTATTATGCCAACTTTCAGGCTGATGTTGATGGAAATGGGACAATAGACTACATTGAGTTCATTACTGCTACAATGCACAAGCACAAACTAGAAAGAGAAGAAAACCTTTATACAGCATTCCAGTATTTTGATAAAGATAATAGTGGGTAAGTTCCAACGGTAAGATGCCATCTGAATTAGGCATCATCTCTTAAGAGTGTTGTTGATGCACTAACTATTGCACAGTCGTAAACCCATGATTTTCTTTCTATGCTGTTTTAGGTTCATTACGAGAGATGAGTTAGAAACTGCTATGAAAGATTATGGAATGGGTGACCCAGCCACCATAAAGGAGATAATATCTGAAGTGGATACAGATAATGTGAGTATTCTTCTTCCTTCGTTGCAGGTCTCTAAAGACTTTTGATCATGTTTGCCCGCTCACCAAGTACTGCATTTTTTATGCCGTCAATATTCCAGGATGGAAGAATCAATTATGAAGAGTTCTGCACAATGATGAGAAGTGGTACAAAACAGCCAAACAAGCTCTTCTAGTTCAAAGCTCCAAGATCTTAAGCTTTATGACTCGGGGTTAAATCTTCTTCTCGGTCACAAATTACATTACTAAGTCGAGCAGCAGCTGTCCAGCAGGCTTTCAGTTTGGAAATTTAAAGTATAGCATTTGTTTTGTGATTTGTTCCAGCTCAGTTGTTGCTCTTTCTGCTGTTTCCTCAGTATCTATCCAGCCTTTTTTTAAACAACCTTCCTTTGGATGTCTGGAGGAGGGGGGAAAATCTGGATGTCTAAACCTAGCATTTAATCCCCTCTTCTTTTTTGATTTATTCTTTAAATGAAAAAAATGAAAATAGTCTTCCGTAATAACACCGTTATGCATTCTGCATGGGGATTACGTTGTGCATTTTACATACCGCGTAACTTTATTTGCACATGACGTAACTTTATTTGCACAACGTGTAATTTTAGAACAAATTTTTGTAAGTCTCACACACGTTATTAAAAATGAAATACAGGAAGTGATCTGAACCGTACAATTTTTTTGAGTCAAATCCTGACCGTACACTGTTCAGAGACGTCCTTCTGATAATAACTGTCCCTGCCCCGTCTCCTCCGCATGAGAAAGGCGGATCTGCTCCTTACTGTAAATCCATCCTCTCTCCATTACACTCTTTTAACTTGCAACCGCCTGTTAGCTCATAAAAGCCATGGGTCAACAAGTTTCAGATGTCATGTGCTCTCGTCTGCAACTGCCAAAAAAACCTCAACTGCCAAGAACAACAGATGCAAAAGGCAGTCTCAGCCAGGATGCGAGAACCACCTCTACAAACCAAGTTATCTTAATCTTGTCCACCAAAACTCACTCTACCAAAATTCCTCCCAGCCACCAAACATCCCCACAAATAAATGAACATCCTCCAGTGACGAGTGAACGCATGACGCATCTAACCGTAGTTCTCTGTGATGTATTCTGAAGTCGTCACCAAACTTGAATGCCACTCAGATGACAGCTTAAGGCCACAAAGAGTATCTTAGATTTGGAAATCGGTTTAATCCAATATATTATCCCTCGATCTTTGAAGGAATCATCATATATACCAATTAGAAATCAAAGCAACGATTTGACGCATTTACAATGACAATATTAAAAGATTAAAGCAAATACACAAGTAAATATATCAATTATACCTTTATTACTGAAAAATAAGAAGGTAGTCTTACAAACCGCTTTTTGTCCCATGACATTATCAAATGAAAGAGAACCAACACCAACTAACGCGAATAGTTCCCACTATCCACACAAACACTAACACGAATATTATAATAGGCAATCCTCAGATGCCACACACCAATGCAAAATACTGCTACTATATATTATTTTCTTCAGACAAGATGATCATAATAATCCTTAAAAACCATGAATCTTGATCTGGTCTTTCTTGACAATTCCAGCAGTCACAAGGAACTGAGAAGCATTCTTGCGCTGATCACCTTGAAGTTGAATGACTTTGCCTAGCTCTTTGTCTTGCACCACATTCCCGTTGCAACAGAACTCTTTCTTAAGATCCTTCAGTATCTTCTCCAAGCTGAAATCTTTTTTCAGCCCCTGAATAGTTGTCAAGCACTTTTTACCATTCCTTTGTTGAACACGGATATGAACATACTCTTTGGCACCAGGGGCACCTGAGTCCTTATCCTCGGTGAATGGATCAAAAGCAGCTGGGATTTGGATGTCTAGATCAACCATGTATTTGTTGGATTGGAACTCGAAAACTTTCTGAGATCAGAAAGCGGAAATATCGGCACTAAAGCTGTAGACAAAGAACAAATATCTGTCAGCATCCAAGAACTTTACTTTGTAAATCAAAATGACAAAAAAGAAAGAAAGAGAAAGAAACTAAATCGGTACATCTGATTAATCATAAAAGCTCGCATAGCTCATAATTATAGTCCAAGAATGTAACTACAAATACAAAAGCAACCCCCATATATCTTGATATCTGTCATTAGTTAATCCAGAGGTCATAGTATCCTGAATTCAGCTTCCAAAAATTTTTATGTAGAAAAACGAAGACGGGAACATAAGCCCACATGTATATTAACAAATCCTTAACGACCCTAGTACCTCATGCTACCATGAACCCAACATCTTTTATCAACCTACCGATCAAATTCAAAAGGGTCACAGCCTATACTAACGTAGCAAAATCTCATCATGGATTGAATTTCACAAACAAACCAGCACCTTCCCCACCAACTAAAAAAAATTTTCATGTATCAACAAGCGCAGCACCCACGGGCTACCATCAGGCCCCATAATAAAACTAAGAAAAGCATCGCATAGTGTTCAAAGACAAAAAAAAAAATGGAAAATAACCTATAATTTTAAAATAAGGAGATCGAGTCTTCAATTAAAAGGAAAAAGAAAAAAAGATCAACACTTTAACAACCTGAAGAGGAAAGCGGGAGAAGCGGGCAGAAAACTAACCTCTTAAACGAAGACCCGAAAGAAAGCGAACGCGTATAAAAGCCGTAGAAGAAATTATGGAAGGAAGACAAGGGATGGGTGGGTATTTATAGGGAGGAAGGAGGCGGTGGGAGATGGGTGGGTCTTTAATTTTGTAGCCACACGAACTTAATTGTGGTTGGGTTTATTCTGACCCCGGTTTAGCGTCCCTCATGTCATGCATCACTAGTTTTGCAATTAATGTGGATTTCCATTTATATCCAGATGCTTAACAGATACTACTACGTATATATATGAACCTTAGATGAAGGCGAAGGGGAGTGGGGAGGATATTAGATCGTGGGGCGGCGGCTGGGCAATTTGGGGAATTTGCAGCTACAGAGATCGCGTAGAATCAACGCACTGGAGCCAGCCGTGACGACAACGCAGAAAGAGATTTGTGGAAGTTGAATCACCACGGTGGGGTAAGTGTTTGTGTGGGCAACGCGTTGTTGATGCCTCATGGAAAGACTCCTGATTCATCACGGGCTCTGGGTCATTGTTGGTGGGAAGGATCCAGATGGACCAGGACACCGCCCACAACATCTATGGCTTCATTTTGGGTCAAATCATAACTCTTACTGTTACTCTTCTTATTTGAGAGGGAATTTCACCTCTCAATAAATATATATATATATATATATATATATATATATATAAAAGGGAATTGGGCTGTTACACGCCTTTTAAATTTTATTACAACTTATTATTTTAGGACGAGAATCCAAGTAAATTAAGAAAATTAAAAGAAGAGAATCTTACTTCTAAATCAAAGGATATGATGCATCCTTTATAAAAAAAAAAAAAAAAAGAGAGGAGGAGGGTCTAATTGAATTAAAAGAGGTCAAAAAAAAGAGAATTTCACTTCTAAACTAAAAAATATACAACATGCACATCCTCTAAAGTTTAAAGGCAGAGGTTTAGAGATTTAAATTCGTAACCAAATCTGCATCAAGTGGTGGCTAACTCATCGAACGGGAAGTTTGTTCCGCAGCTTCTTTGGAACTCGGTGGATTTTCCCGTGTTGTTTTTGATGTACACCTGACAGACCATTTGGGGCAGCCATCCCATGATAATCCTATCCAATCCTGCTGTGCCCTTGTACCCTTTCCCTGTCTTTTCGACATCCACAAGTCTTAGCACTCATCTGGCGGGGTTTTCTTTCTTTTTTGGTTAATGTTTGGCGGCCTTCTTTACAAACTAATTCCAATCATCAGATTCATTTTTCCTCTCTATGTGGTCAAGCTAGATTTTCAAAATGCGGCTAAAGTCGAGGAGAGTATAAACTTTTATTTCGACCCGTTTGCCCCCGTCTGGCAAATACGGTGAGAACAGAAAGGGTAGGGGAAAAGCATAGTAGTTATGGAGCAGCATTTCCCGTAATTATATGGGGATAAATCCTACCGGCACTGATTACCTTGTTTGGACCGCAATTTTTCGAACGTTTTCGGTGAATCATTTTTTTATTTTATATACATCAAATCGTTACAGTGTTTTTTTTACAAAAAAAAAAAAAAAAAAAAATACAATCCAAAAATGTCATGTACGAGCTCACCACTGGTCCACAACCCCGTTATAGCACGGTATACTGCAGCACTCGAAACTCGGAAAAAACCTCTTAGAATGCATGCCTTCCTCCGCCGGGACTATGAAAGACAGATGGGTAGAGCATCGATAAAGAAAAAAGATGCTCAAGGCAACATTTATTGGTTATTATACACAAGAAATGATTGCCTATCGAAGAGAAAATATATTCATTTCCCACTCACGAATTGTGCAAAAACAAAATATAATGGATATTTATTACTCTAATATTATTGGTTATAGTAATACAAGACAGAATAAATACGATAAGCTCTGAATCCAGGAGGTAATAGGTCAGGTGCTTCGGTTAAGGTCCATCTCCACTTGGTGAATGGTCCAACGCAAATTTTCCAATTTCTGCAACAGGACATTCCAATTAAAGAGTTAACGAACAACTGGACAAAAACAATTTCCATGATATATTCTGTTTAATTCCCACTTGCCTTGACTATCTCATGATATTGTCTGGCTATGGAATCGAAGTGTGGATCGACGCCTTGATACTCACGAAGGCGTGTAACCTGAAAGCATCAAGAACACAAGATAGTCCAGCGGAAGATCGTCCGAGCAACCTGAACAATAATTCTAAAACGTATCTTCCTTACTCCACTCAAACTCAAAGACATGATTCGAGGAAACAGGGGAAATCTTATGGCATCATGAACTATTTGATAATGCAAGAATCTAAGCATAAACTTAATTGGCTATACAAGCAATATCAGTGGCATAGACTTGCACACAAAAGCACATATTCTACAACCCCAACTTGAAAAACAGAATATACGAATGAATTATACCGCTTTATTATACGCAAGTGATGCTTCGTCTGTAGAATCGACCAGATACTTCCTGAACCAAAATGAAAGCAAAGAAAGAGAAATGTTAATCCTGCGGCATCAGCAGAATATTCACTGATAAAGTTGACTTTGTTTACCTTATCTTGTGAAGTGCTCCAATTGTTTCTGGAGTATAGGTGTCATACAACAGGACGTGTTCTAGAACTCTGAGAACAACATTTAGGTAAGAATGTTATATTCCTCCTATAGGCGAACAGCAGTAGACCATCTGTCTCAAAACAACTCAAGTTGGGGAAGCCATTTAGTTATCAGAAAGGCCCATCATCACACTTCAAAGGTACCACCCTAACCCATTCATGCACTATCTTTGTTCATCTAGTGAAGGCATGCAGATGTCAAGTTGCGTTATTTGCCCCCAGAAAGAGTATTCCTGATTTACTTTCTAAATATAGGTCATGAAAAGAAAAGAAAAGAAAGCA